GAGTCACATTTGAAGACCACAGGGCATTATCAATTGGTCAGTCTGGAGTTTTAAGACACTAGGTATTACGCAGAACATTTACTAAAGTGGTGATATGTTCACCACCTTATGTACATTCTGAACTATGCGCAAGCAGCAAGCTTTTGTCTGGATAAAACCTCTTGGGAAGAGTTCAGCGAACGGCCACCTGTATGATCTTTTCGACGGTTAGTCTGACAACAAAGAACGACTTCAGTAGCTGAACGTCTCTTTATGCTATCATAGTTAGAGGGATCTAATCATGCTATCCATGATTACCAGAAATGACTTACCATATGATTTATCTTTTATTTTCCTTCACACTAGGTCGAAACATCTCAAAGAACATTGAAGGAGAGTACAAAAGCTAAAGACGAACGTCATCTCCATAGAGTATTGATTTTCGTGTTGAGTAATAAACTGAAACTGACTCTCAGAAGTATTATCCATATCGTCAATAGAGCTGGTTCGGGAGATGACTGGAAAAGGAATAAAAGGGGCTCATAGCCATCTATCTTTAAACTAATGTGAAACGTGCACTTTGAAAACAGGAAGTGAATTTTTCCAAGCACTTGACATTTTTGCTTTTGTTGAGTAATCCACACCAAGGGCTTTCTTATAAACCTTGACTTGAAGTACTTGAGTCAGTGTTTGAAGTTTAATCATTTTTTGAGGCTTAAGGTTGCTCTTTGTGTTGTCACAAGTCAAGTGCCTTTGTCGGAATTTTGACCGAGTACTTCAGTTAGTACACGGTACTAGTGAATAACTTGGCCAGCGATAATCATGTTTGCGGTCGTCCCAGCTGTGAATCTCCAGTGGATGAAGATATCCAATGTGATGTATGTGGATGTTAGTTCCACAAAGTTTGTACCGGATTGAAACCAACCGTGTACAAGCGTTGCAGCAAACCAGATTCTTCCTCTTGTGTGAATTCTGCTGCAGGCCGCTGCCAACACTCATCCAGGAAGCTGTTGAAAATTTACTCGTCAAAAAACAGCTATGTGGAAATGAGAGCTATCATTCTAATACAGCATCAGATGATAACGCTGCAAATCTTATCATTACTATATCTGACACAGGACCTCTCAGCAGACTAATGGATGCTGGTGATCCAATTGGTGAAATTACACCAGTTCCGAAGCGTACTCGACGCAAGAGAAAACCAAGGGCAAATGGTACACCAACCTTAATACCTGAGGATTCACCAAAAGACTGCATCTCTGGTAACAGCGTTGACTCTGTTAAATTGGTCAACGAATCTTCATGGATTTTTCCAAGAAAGCAACCGAAGAGACTGCCAAAGGTTATCACGGAAGATACTAGGCTTATGAAACCTATTGAGGTTTCAAACGTCGTCAACACACGACTCAAGGATTCCACCCCAACACCCAGTTTAATCTTCTGGAATGTTGAGGAGTCATCAGACAAGATGCTTCAATACATCACGGCCATGACCTGAAACTAGTCGAGTCGGCCATCAGACGTATTTTGCCTGAAAAGTCTAAAGAGGTGCACATCTCCAAAGCAGTTAGGGTAGGTAAGAAAACGGAAGAAAAATCTGATGAGGAAAGAATTTTAAAGGTTGTTTTAGGCAACGAGGATGAAGTGGAAGTACTCTTCAGTAAAGCATCCAGACTACGAAATTTGGATATCCGCATCCGACCTGACTGGCCCCTCGAGGACCGCATAAAAAGAAGAGAAGCTGTTGCCGAACTTAAGGCTCGACAAGCTAGTGGAGAAAACGATCTTAAAATGGAGGGTTTTCTGGTTATGAGGTCTTGGAAGCGAATGCCTGCCTTTCAAATGAATTCGTGCTAACCCATATACGTAACTGGAGTAGAAGTAACAGATGCCTAATGCTCCACACATAAACTGAATGGAGCTAACAGTCTCAATATCTTGCAGTTCCTTCGAAAATGACTTACTCTTGACGGTCTTAAAATCTGCTTTAATTCAAAACGTAACATGTGAAACACGTTACGATTTTAAGCACAAGCCATCGTTATTAGGTTTAGTTTTAACCCATCAATGTGAAGACATTCTGGATCTACGACACTTCCCTCCATTAGCTAACATCGACCATGTAGTACTAACCTTTGGTTTTCGGACTAATGAGTTTGGTTATGACACTGCTTCCCCTAGACCTAATGTATGGCGTGCGGACATCTCAAGTATAACGGATTGCGCAGTCAGCAAGGATTCGACCGTCGACAAGGATTCACCAACTGACAACGCATAGAATAGGTTTAGAACTTTGTTTGAAGAGATAACGACGCCATTTACTCCATGTTCGACTCCACAACGATTCTCACATCGCCCTTCATGGTTTAATAAAGACATTAAGAGACTATTAAGGCGGAGGAAACTTTTATGGGACTTGTTTCTAGAAACTAGACTGGAAGCATCTAAGACTGAGCACTGTGAAGTCGGTAATCTCTGCAAAACGTTGATTACACGGTCTCGAATGTCCTACGAGAAGCAGCTTGTGAGGGATTGTCAAAATTGTCTTAAAAGACTGTTCGCATTCATCAGAAGGAGAACTAAAAGAAAAGGTGGAATTCCTTCTCTGGCGATCAATGAGACGTTTGACAGTTTGGCGGAATCTAATCTGTCCAAAGCTGAATGTCTATCGGATTACTTTAGTGAAGTCTACTCTGTAGATCATGACGATGGAGTGCTAAATAGTGTTGTCAGCACTGTTCCACTAATAGATACTGTCTTTACAAAGGAAAGAGTCTTACAGTTGCTCATTAATCTTAAACCTGGAAAATCCCCGGGTCCCGATGAGTTACATTCCAGACTTCTATCTTCGATACCGGACATCATTGCTGAGCCGGTCACGAATCTTTTCAATATGTCCCTAACTCTAGATGCCATAATCAGCCCAGCTTTTAAGACCGGTAGTCACCATTTGATGTCTAACTATCGCCCTGTGAGTCTAACTAGCATAGTTGTTAAGATTTTAGAAAAAATAATTCATGACAAGGTACTTAAACATATTGGATCAACCAATCTTTTGGCACCATAGCAACATGGTTTTCGTACTGGACGCTCCTGTCTAACCTCCTTATCGCAAGAGAGGAATATGTTGTAGCCCGTGATCACAAGCTGCCAATAGATGCCGTGTTTATAGACTTCAATAAGGCATTCGACAAAGTGTCGTATGTGAAACTACTAGGAAAGCTCTTCTCCTTCGGGTTTGCTGCTTCATTGCAAGCCTGGATTAGGGACGTTTTGTACGACAGAATGCAAAGAGTAAGAGTAAATGGTATACTATCCGGGTGGAAACCTGTGATGAGTGGAGTTCCCCAAGGAACAATCCTAAGTCCACTACTTTTCTTGTTATATATCAACGAATTGCCAAAAATGCTCAACTCTTCGGTACTGTTATTCGCCGATGATGTAAAGATCTCGAGTCATACGCAGTGATGCAGATAGGTATGCATTTCAGGAGGATTTAGATGAACTAGTAGGTTGGTCCAAAAGTTGGTGCCCGGAAATCAACTCTAACAAAAGTGCAATAGTGCACATTGGTCATAGCAATTATTTCCAGTAATCCGTTGATGGTACACCACTACTCCCAGTCTTTGAACTAAAAGACTTGGATGTCATCACCAGTCACGATTTGGAAACCTCAGCAAACCGTAATGCAGCTGCAGCAAAGGGCTTCTATGTATTATGGTCCTTCCGCAGAACTTTAAAATGTTTTGATCGGGACATGTTCAGAATACTTTATTCTACTTACGTTAGACCACACTTAAAATACTGCATTCAGGCGGCCAGCCTATGCCTAAAAAAGGATGCTGACGCACTCAAGCGTGTTCACAGGGTGAGTACTAAGCTTGTGGCAGGCCTTTCCAATCAGCCCTATGAGGAACGACTAGATCAGCTAAACTTATTCACACTGTCTTACCGTAGGAAACGGCGGATCTCATACTGGCATTTCATATTCTTATTAATGATTTCAGTATTGATGTCCTATCTTTTCACCCTGCTAGGACTGACTATCTCCGAGGGCATCACAAGAAGATTCAAAAATCGCGATCGAATCAACTTAGCATGAATCTGCGTTTCTCCCATGGTGTTGTCAACATCTAGAACTCCTTACCTCAGCAAGTAGTATCAGCACCTTCTGTCAACGCGTTCAAGGAGGAACTAGATCTTCACAGATATATCTTCTGCAAGGACTAACACAGACTAACTGGCCTACTATCCTTATAACTGAGAACGGAACCTGAAACAAATTGGAATCTGATTTAGTCATCAATGAAAAGATTATACAATTACAGTTGTAGATACTTCAGACGCTCTTGAAGAAATGGTGATGAGTGTTAATTCGCAATATTTCGAAATAGAAAACGATGAATCAGCCGCTATCACTGTGTATTCATTCAGCATTTACTGCAGGCATACTTCTAAAATTACGAGCTAAAATGAGTACCGAAAACTAAACGTTTACCATCAGGGGCGTATTACCAGCCCCAAAACATTCGAAAACTTTGATTGACATACTGCATGAAGAACTTGACACAGTAGTTTTGTCAAAAAGTGCTTGTAGTGAATTGGGAGCTTCGGAAAAACAGTACTTGTGAAAACCTGGACTGTAGACACTTTGAGAATTTTATTCCGATGAACATGCCCGTCTTATTGTGTTGTGTATACTAACATGCTAACCTTAGCTTAGCACCGACCAAAAGATTATCTAAGAAACGTAAACTAACCCCTGAAAATTTACAAGTGCATAAATAGTAAATAATAGCTTGGACACGCAAACACTCGACAGCTACAAATAATTGCGTTGAAAAACCAGAGGTCGAGAATGTTATTAATCCCCCCCTTGATTTCGATAAGTGAATATATATATATATATATATATATATATATATATATGCAATAATAGCATTTCCAATGCATGCAACAAGTCGACACTTTAAAAATAATGAACTGACAGTGTTTTGTTCAGTCTATTTAACAAATATTACCTTGACTGTCAAACTTTTGTATTAATGTGTCAATGAATGTATTCTGAGGAGCGACATGACCCCTCTTAATAGGCATTCCAGGCAAGAAACTCAAAATGGACACGGGCCAAGAAAATGACCTCAGAGTACAAACATATTGTTTGGTACAAACAAAATACCAACAAATCTGAATATTTTAAGCGGACTAATGATGTCTACTCATACTTCACTTTTTAAAGCTTCGTTTTAATTTACGGCACAATTTGAACTGTTTGTCTCAAACTTCATTTTCTGCTATCTGGTGATAAAGAAAGGATTAGGTTCATTGCACCATGCTCAGAAAAGTCTACTCCCATTTCAATCACCAACTCCACTCAAAAAGTCATTGCATTTGCCACGTAAATTTCATCCTGATCCATTGCCGTCGAAATATTTTCAAACATAGTAGTGAATGATGTTTCTGAACAAGTACATTCAAATCTGTAACTGAGTGAAATTTGTTAGAGCAGGTCAATAAAACTTTGGTGGAACCATAAGATTTTTGTCATCTGTGAATTAAAGACCCATCGAATACTTGAGCTTCTATGTGCCTTCTATGTACCTGACCCTAACGATTCAAATGAACTTATTTAACGCTATCCAAACAGGCCATTGTTGAGGTACTTTTGTAATTTTGAAATGACTTGTTATTGTTTAGAAGTGACACGGATTTTTCATGTCAAGTCGTGAATTGGTAATGGCGAAATATAATCTTTGGCCGCGCATGACGCAAGGAAGATTGAGATACTATTCCAAAGAAAGCAGTGGTTTGTTTAGATAACGTTAAATTATTCCAGTTGAATCGTTTCCTGAGCTCAGGCCATAGTGCTTGGATTGTGACCGTAACACCAATCCTGACTGTCACCTTAGGCAAAAGCTTGAAGATACGGTTGACGCGACTTATCGTACAGCTACTGCCCCACCGCTGGAAACCATAAAGCTTACGCACACGACTGAACCCGGAAAGCACACTTACGATAGTGTCACTGTCCATCGCACCTCACGATTTAAACGTAGGTGTAGTGACACACGCCTATGGAGGTTCGAAGATCAGTGCAAGTATAACCGTGAGCAGCATGTTCCAAACAGGTCTCAAATGTTAGGTCTGCAGCAGACACTCGAGTTCTTTAACTGCTAAATACATCTTTGGGACGGGCAGTAGGATTTACGTTTCCACATTCCTTACAGCTATTTACAAAGCGTGGTGAGGAAACGTCCTCGAATTTGTAGAGATTTTAGCTATTAGGAAGTAAAAGCCACCTTTGTGAGTTCAAAAACAATTTATCATCATACTAAACCTCGCTTAGTGAATTCAACCACGAAATCAAGTCCGGTGAATCATTACTTTCGTTCTATGGGTTTCACTGTCATCTTGGACTTTCCGCTCGGTACCTTTTCACTTTCCTACCCTTTATTTCTCTATCAATGCCCACAATAATGCCTGTGATGGGTGCGTTCATGATAAGATTGTTGGAACCGCGAAGCGTAAAAAAACATTGCACGCTTCAGACAAGTTGTCTTTCGTTTTTCTTTCGCAAGTTATTGAACTAAGGATCACGTGTTCTGGAGAGCTCCTATGAAGCTCTAGCTGACTGATAAAGAGAATCATATAATTTGATATTGAGTGTACCATATAAAAGTCACAGCCTAACTGCATTCCAAATACTATCTTTCGATCAAATTCTGCTTCTGATGCTAAAAATTCATCGCATACTGTATATTTCACACGTGTGCGATATTTTTCGTTCCACCTCAACACTTGCCTGCATAATCCGAACGGTCATCTTTGGCGCATCTGTTGACTCATGTACCAGATTGATGGTGGTCTTCGCTTTATATGCCAATTTATTGAATGATCAAGAAGTCGTTGTTTGTATAAACACTAGACATAAACCCCGGTGCTTAGAATTAGACTCACGCACTTCCCTAGGGCCTTTCTTGAGACGCCGTTTTTCGGTACTAGACAGCGGGACTGTATGTAAGAAATAAGCTGTATAAGATGAACCGTTCTAACCTGGTTTTCCAGTATTTCCAAGCAGTCCAATCCATTGCTCGTCTGGACAAGGTCATACTCGTGGCAACTAGGTAACGACCTAGCATCAGCCTGGCACACACTTTTCGTATCCACTGGTAAACGACGCTTGCCAAGATGATTTACACAAGGTTCCTCGTGGAAACGAAAAATTCTGGTTCGTTGTTCACACATTGGCATGCATAGGGTGGTTACTTCAATGATACGGATAAATTGTTGAAGGATCTTATTGATGAAAGGCGTCGACCAGAGCACTGAAAGAATTGGGGCCTATACGGCCATTGCCATTTCGAGTGCATATAGGCGAATCCCCTAGCCTGACGATGCCTGTCATATAGAACTATGGCAGGAATCAATAAACAGGGAGAATGAGTGCAATGTTTGAAGTATATTCAGTAAACTGCCAATTGTGCAGCTCAGTGCTAAAGATGTAGAAGTGTCATCACGCTTGACGTCGGACAGATTTCGATCCCATCAAGTGCAAATGGCATCAGTTAAATGCAACAGTATATTACGAATTGTGAATTGTGGCTCCTTATCACTGGGTTGAAGTTGGAGCGCAATAACCCAGTAAGCTATCTGTTGGACGTTTACAACGGCAAATGGCTTCTTCACCTCACTTCCAGATCACGTTTTCTCTGCCGAAAGAACGAGCGTCTTGCACTATGCTGAAAAAATCGATCCCAAATTATACCCACAGAAGATTGCCTGAAAATATTGATTTCACATGTGATGAGTGACCTTCACAACTTGACCTCCTCTCAACCAGCAATATCGGTAACTGACCGGTTCACTAACTGCGTTGTTTGAAATTTCACTGAATGATTTCAGACCCAGAGACACGGCTCCCTCCCGACTATGGTGGAGAAGCGGAAAGGTTTTGACGCAGGAACGTAAAAGATTGTGGCGATTTAGGTTCCTACTTGGCACTAATTTTCTCACTAACTGATCAAAACTTGATACCAGCAAACTATGGAAACGCCGCCACCCAGTGAGTTTTGCAAAGGTGTGGACGGAAGCATAGAGGTTTGAGAGCAAAGAAATAGTTTCTTCTCACAACCTTACGTTCTAAAGCCCATTTGCAGACAGAAAACCTGTGATTTCCTGCATGGCGACTGAGCGAAATGTATAATTTTATCATCGCAATCGATGTCACTGGTTTTCGGGACTCAGGAGTAACAGCCAGGGCCAAACTCAGGGGGAGAAAAATACTGCCCACCTTCTCCGGCTTCCTTCCAAAGAAATAACCAACAGATGAAGCACACTGAATATGGGTGTTGCGTCTTCAAGATACGTTAGAAAACACGACTGGTCCTGCGGAATCTCACCAGGTTAACTAGATTACTAGCCACTAGCCGGTCCCAAGCCCGGATAAAGAGGGAAGGTTGGGCATAGGGCTAGCAATCCTACCACCTAAAACAAATCCAATCGCTAAGGAAACTTCGAAGCACAAAGTAAGTATAAAATATGAAAAAACAACTTACTCCTCACTGCAATCCAGGAGACGAAATTACTCCGGTTGGCGAAAGCCTTCAGGAAGCCAATTAGCCGATGTGTCTTCTCTCGATGAAAGCAAAAGTAAGAATGGGGAGATAAGATGTCCAAACAATGTTTGAAGCTACCAAGGCTGCCCAGATTGCAAACGAGATGAGAAGGTATGGCGTAGAAGTGTGAGGAGTCTGTGAAAGCAGATGTAATGGAAGTGAACTCTCGAAACCGTCAACTGGAGAATCAATAATCTACTCCGATATTGTCACTAAGACGACAACCACGAGAACACTGAGTTTTGGAGTGGCTATCATGATGTCCCCAACAGCATCAAAGGCTCTCTCTCATGCAGTGGGAACCAATCTCCTCCACGATCAGGAACATGACAGTAAGATTCAACTTAAAAGGAAGGAAAGTCACAATCATACAATGCTACACTACGCACCTACAAATAATGCAGATCAAGACAAGAAGGAAGAGTTCTACAGACAACTGCAATCAGTACTGGACAAGACTCCACCCCAGTTGGCGATGACGACATCAAAATTCTAATGGGTGCAGTGACATGAATGCCAAAATGGGAGCGGATAACACAAAAAGAGAACTCATCATGGGTCGAGAAGGACTCGATGAAATAAGTGAGAATGGAGAACTGTTTGCAGATTTCTGAGCATTCAAGGACTTGATGATTGGAGTCAGGCAGTGTGTACAAACACAAGGATATTCACAAGGCAGCGAAATGGATTTGATTTCACCAGATGGATACACTACACACTAAAAATCAGATCGAATTCATCTCAATCTCAAGAAGGTGGAGATGCAGCCCACTGGACATAAGGTCAAGAAGGGGAGCAGATGTAGGTTCAAGCTACTCACTATCTAGTGCAAGGAACATTCAAAATAAAGTTGAAAGCCTTCACAGAAGTTGGTGATAGACCACAGTTCAAGTTCAACACCCAGAACAGAAAGTGAACTGAAGGACGAAGCTTCAAAGGGCATCTTCACGTCAGTCAGCCATCAGGACAAAATGGGAGACATTGAGCAGCATTCCTGAAGAAACCTGCGTGGGAGAACACTGGAACTCTTTGAAAGAGATGTGGAAGGAAGGAAGGAAGAGGAAACAAAACAAGGAATAGAATGGATCTCGACGGACACATGGAATTTGATAAGGGAGGGAGAGAGAGATGGTGAATGAAGCAGAGGATGAACCAGTGCAAGGATGAACAAAGAAAAGAGGACCTGAACACAACCTATAAAACACTGGACAAAAAAGTAAAGAAGAGTGCACGAAGAGACAAAAGACACTTCTACGACACACTTGCAAGTGAAGCAGAACAGGCTGCTGGTGGGAGAGACTGAGACCAGACAACATGATATCAAATAACCAGGTGACTGACTATCTGAGAAGAGATCAATGCAGATGAAGCCAATGAGAGATAGTGGAGGAAGGCTAGTTACCAAAGAGGAGAAACAAAGGAACCAATGGGCTGACCACTTCAAAAAGCTCTTGAATCGACCACCAACACCTGCAACTCGTCCAGAAATACCACCAGCAACCCAGTCACAGAATTACCACTGAACACAAGTCCTC